TTGTCATATAAATTACTTTTCACGTTCACATTCTTATGAATATCTTTTTAAAAACAGTAGTTTTTACAAAAAAAAAATCTAATCCTTATACAAGCTAATATGCAATATTGTTTTTACTTACGCAGAAATAAATATAATTTTCATATTTGCCTAATTATAATAAAAGATTAAAATATAAAATTATATAATTTCTAATTTGTTGCCTATTAATAATTTGCTCTGTTTTTAATTTAACTTTAGAAGATTGTGAAACAATCTAATTGTACAATTAATTATTTATTGAAAACAATTGCGTAGTTTTACAATAATTGTAACGATACATTTTCTAACGGCTTGTATCAACGAGGAACCGGAATTCATTTATTAATATTTAAAGCATCTGGTTACTATGTATATTATATTAATTTATATGTAATATTTCCTTATGTAAAATACATTAAAACAAAATAAAAAAAAAATAAAACAAAAAAATATTTATAATTACATAAAATGTAACCAATATTTTTTTCAATACTCGATGTATAGATAAATTGTATGTACATATACACATTCACACGCATTCATATGTAATTACAATCGACATAGTCAGAGTTATACATCTTGTACGGATTATTCACATTATCATTATCGCTTTGTTTAAAAAAAAAAAAAAAAAAAAAAAAAAAAAAAAAAAAAAAAAAAAAACATAAAACTTTATTATTGTTCTGGAATCTTATAAATTAACAAGTCTATTATAATCGAAGTCCTTTAATCCTTTAGCATAAATTTTATAAAAACAGTTAATTTCAAATTTATTTATTTTTCTGACATTCTAGAGTTATTCTTTTAAATGCGCATTCATTCTTTTATTATTAATTATTTCTTAACACGAAACCTCTATCATACTTTGTTTATAATTATTTTCTAATACAATAATTATAAAATACTTAGATTGAAAATTTGTTTTAGTTTTTATTTATAGAGAAACTATTTTAGAATAGTAAAATTAATTCTATCGTTTCAAAATTTTGTTCTATTTAGTTTTATTTCTTCGGTCTTATTTCTCATAAATATTGATTTACTTAGGTGCACACAGACATTAATATATCATTATTTATTACAAAATAAAAATTCTAAAATACTACAATCAACATAAATTTTTAGTAGGCAAATTTTTCTTTTACTGTTATAACACATTAATTAATTAATTAAAAGTGTATTCATATAGACGTTTTATATCTACTTTGTACGTATAAATTAAAGTAATCTAATTTTTTTCAGAAAATTTTTACAATACGTAGATTAAATTTTTCGGAAATAAATAAATCAATATTATACACATAATGAATTTCATACGTCGAATAGTATTGTATTTGCATATAATGTTATTAATTTTAACGATGAAGACATTTAATTTATCCTACGCAGCACTCTTGTCGATTTGTGATTATATATTTGTCCATATACTGTTTATTTTATAACGTATTGTTCAAATATTTGTATTATAATGTTTGTATATAAGTATATAGTTATAACTAATGCAATTAGTTATTTTACAATACTTGTAACTATTTAACAAACAATGAAGGATATTTACATTTATAAATTATATTATCATTGACTTTAATGATAATGACAAGAAATGTACATGTTAAATGAAATACTTTAACAATCTTTAGAAAATTTTAATAAATATTACGCTCAATTTTTCTCAATATGAATATGACAATCATTTATTTAATAATTTATGTTATTAAAATTTCTCATAGATTATGGTAGAGAAAAATGAATAATCTTTAAATATCCTAGTTAAATTACTTTTTACCACAAAGAATTTTATATAATATAATAATAAATGATTTCTTACTTTGACATAATTCTTAGCTTCATTAAGTATAACATTCCAAACAATAAGGCAACTTTAATAATTATCACTACAGCTCTGCAGCTTCTAATTAAATAAAGGATTATTAAAAAAAAATTCTAAATCATTAACGTATCGGATATATTTTATTATATAAAATATATTCGCGCCATTAATTTATTTATTAACTTTATTTAATAGTCACGTCTACACAAAAATTATGTTTGTTTTCACTAAAAGCTCGATTGGCAGACTAAATCACACTTGCCGCTATCAAATAAACATCCCAGATATCCTATTATATTCATTTTGATATTTATAATATAATCATTTAAAGGTACCGGCGTGATATTTGAAATTATTAAATTATAAATAAAAGGATCTTATTCGCGTAGCTTCCATCATACATAATCTCCAAACTAAAATTCCATTATTTTTTTAGAAAGAAATATTTTATCATATCAATGAGAAAGTTTGAGATTAATTTTGACAATTCTTGTATGTTAAATAAATGTATTAAATATATATGTATTTTGTTTTTTTTTTTCTTTTTATAGAAATAACGTTATATTACAATTTATGATATAAAATAAAAATATTGAATATTTCCTAGGAAATTTAATTGCAGAAGTAAGTTTTTATACAAGTAATTTTATATTGTATAAAACTATACATACTATTGGCATTCTTTACATTAATTTTTATACTTATAATTATAGTTGTCTACTTCGAATGTAATAATAATAAAAGTAATGTCATATTTTCTTTAACCGTTTAATTAAAATTAACAAGCATAAATATTAGTCTGCATGCATTGATAGTTGACCTAGATAAACAGTAAACAATCTCGGGTATCAATATTTTTATTTATATGCAGATATTTGTTTAGATATGTACCGATTATGTGTCCATTCGAAAATTCAATTTATGCTTTATGCACATATATATATATAGATAATTATTATTATTTAGAGACGTCCATCTGATATTTTTGTTACGGGCATTCACTTATTATCTGATTTATTTGATTGAATTACCGTACACGTACCTATTATTCTTATATTTTATAAGGTGCATCGACAATCATTACTTCTATCATCTGCATATTTTTGCGGAAAAATGTTCAAGAGCTAAATTTTTTCGAATTAGCTCTCTATGATTCTATTCATATTTAGCTTTGCAAATGAAATGGATAGTTTCATGAGGTAAGCGAGTACTGTTTTAGTAAAATACGATTAATTTCCCAGCAATGCAATTATTATCGTTGAGAAAATAATGAAATAGAATATTGTGTGTACGATCCCTCATACCCATTTCTTTTTATATATTTTGATGATCATGCGACATGAATTGCAATTATGCGAATGCGTCGGCAAATATCGTTATTATTTTTTTTTGTTTTTTTGTTTTTTTTTTGTTGTTTGTTTTGGTTTGTTCATTCATTTTTTTAAAAAGTTGTTTGAAGAAATTTACAAATGTTTTGCGATGAAAGTCGAACGCTTATTCCTTTTATTTCGCATGTTTTTATTCGTTAAATAATTCATAATTTATGTGGATTCGGCAATTTTTTATTTTGTATATTAATTTCATTTCTTTTATTGCCTATACAAATTTATGCCTAAAATGACACTTAATATGTAATTATTTAATTTTATAATTAATATCATTACTAGTATAATTAATAATATAACCAAACTGAATTAGCCAACATTTAATTTATATTTTAATATCAGAATTTCATATTCTTATTTTTATATAAATAATAAAAATAATAATAGCCAATTAAATAGTTAATATTTTCAATCGTTTTCTTTCCTATGGATAAAAGTGAACTTTTTCCTGCAATTCGTATATCGAGAATATTATAAGAAATGTTTTACATATTATCTTTTCAAAATGCATTTCATCATTCAGCATTAACATGACTTACGTCTTATATTAATATGTATTTAAGTATTATTGTATAAATAAAATTTGTTGTTAAATCAGGTATCAGTTGACTCTTAAATCATCTCGTGGCTAAAGCTTGTGATAAATCGATGTCAATGATAATCCTCTTAAATTTTATTTAAAATAAAGTATTCGAATGATCAATCTTTATCTAATATAAGATATAAATATGTATTATTTATATATGTAATATTTATAATAAATAAAATAGAGAAAATATGTATACATTCAACGCTTATCGAATGCCGATAACAAGTTTTACAAATTTTGCTAGTTCAATTACAATGATTTTCATTATTATAGAAAATAGTTTTTTTTTTTCTCACTTGCCCCTTAACTTATATAATAAAATATCATAAAATTAAAACAATCTTGTTTGCATTTGCGGAAACTATGCGCTTTAGGATCTAAAGGTTTCTGTCCATCATTTTGAATTTAAAAAAATGCTGTAAATTTGATTTTGAAATTTGAAATATATAATTTTGAATATCCGAAGTTCTGTTAAAGGTAAAGAAAAAAAAATTCAGTTTTTTTTAAAGTTATATACGTAAATAAACATTGTAAAAGTTACCACCGTATAAAAATTATATTGTTTTTTTTTTTTTTATTATTATTATTTATTTGTAGTATAACAATCATTTTTCTGTAGTTAATATGCAAAAGTGTTTTTATTCTTTAATTGTTAAATTAAATATTTTTACAGAAATAGTAAATAATAATATATACAAAATCTTTAATACAATTAATTAGTATATTAATAGCATATTAATTTCTTTTTTTATAACGCTTGACTATTCTTGCATTTAACGTGATTATATTATCTTATAAATGTTAATTCTTACAAGTAAACTAAATATCGAATAATATTTCGTCTATTTCGAATAATTTGAGAAGAAAATACGATCGACATAATGGAGAATAAGTAAGGGGCCGAAACGTTTAAAATTAATAAGAATAATTATGAAAAAAACATGATCAGCAAATAACGAGGTATACAAGCTCAAGACCATTAACCGAGGGAGATACAATTGTATATGAATTGTCAAACTTATGCAAATCCGAAAGAAAATCTTAAACTGTAATGCATAATTGAATTCGCAAAGAGAAATAGTAAGATTTGAAGGAGTCTCGTCAAGTCCATAAAAATTTATTGAGTCCTTGCCTCCCCTTTCTCATTCAAAGCTTACATAATTTTTGCATACCTCACCTGTGAACTCGTTCGAGCAGTCTTCACCTCTTGCTGTCCTACTTCCTTTCCTCCGCCTTATCACACAAACTTAATAGCAATTCTGTGCCGCTTCTCTGTCTCTCTCTCTCTCTCTCTCTCTCTCTCTCTCTCTCTCTCTCTCTCTCTCTCTCTCTATGTATATATATATATATATATATATATATATATATATATATATATATATATATCCCAAATTAATAGCTCTTCTTACTTTCCCTCAGTTCCGGCACACGCGCGTGATCCGACAACACAATGCGAATCGAAATCGTCGCCTACCGGGCCAAGTGCACGGGCGCACTTTTCACACTAGAGCCTTATTAATTTTCCTTTTCGCTGTTGTCCCCAAGCCAAGGAGCAGCGTCTCTATTGGAATAACAGCAGATCGATCAGACGTACATCTCGGCTGAACAAAGCTCTTGGTCGTCTCAGGGCCCTGCGGCGCTCAGCCAGCGCTCAGCCAGCAACCATTGCCGTGCAGGTCGTACTCGCGGCTGGCTAAATCAACTGACATCGAATTACTGAGCCACCGGTACCCAGGGGACCTGTGCGGACGATGCCTGGTGGGGATTAGAGTTAAAGACGCGGGGGAAAGAGAGAGAGAGAGAGAGAAAGAGAAAGAGTGGGACCCGGCGAACCGCCTTTCACGTTCGAGGCCTCCGCCGCCGACATGGACCCAATTCCTAATCAGTCAAGGGCTCACCTAGCATTCTTAATGGCATTTCATTGGCATTAAATCTGCTCGGCTCGGATACGTCAAATATTTCTATAGATAGGAAGTAGTGGCCATAAGGAGAAATGCACGAGAGGTCGGTCCCGGGTCTCGATCATCGATTTTATGTTTGCATTCAAGGTCAAATCATCATCCCGTTCCTAATAATTTTACCGAGTGGAGAATAACGCTGTATAAGGCCGGATTTATAAGTCGAAATTACTGGTGCCTTCATCGCTTCATCCCTTCGTCAAAACCCCTTCATAAAAAAAAAACATCGAAATTTAAGATATAAAAGCAAATTAAATAGTTTTTTTTTCTTTATCACTAGTATTTAACTAGTAACATAACGAGTTTGAAATCGTTTTTCATAAAATTTTAATCGAATTATACATATGCAATATGCTTTTTCTAAAAATATGATTTACTTCGGAATTGAACATATGGCAATAATAATTTAAAATTATAATTTAAAAATTCGTTAAAAATTCTGGTCTCATTATTCTTTATTAACGACAGATTATGTAGTACATACGAATATTATAAATTATTAAAGTTAGTAATTCAAAAAGGTTTAATATATCTTCATCAAAGGTTAATTAACGTTTCATAAATTTATTTATGAGCATTTTATATTTAAATATTAATCCAGTATTACTATAAGCTTCGAATATTAATATTATCAATATAAATTTAATATTTTCTCAAATTAAAAAACAATGCATTCAACTAGTCAATAAAAACACTGAATAATGAATATTTAATCATATCCTTAAACATTATAATATATATATATATATAATACAATATTAATCCACCGGAGATTGAATATTAAACAAATAACTATTATTTTTATATGCTCGCAGGTATAAGATCGATGCATTAATATAATTTTTAAATAAAGCTCTCAGTAATAGTATATATGTTAAGATTTCCTCGGTTATTATATGATTCAAGGTTTTTCGTTAACATATCAATAAATCCCTTTTCAATTAAATATATTTTATTAAAAATTACTAAATCATGGCTAATTAAATTTAACTCGTTAATTTCATGTTTCTATTATTCGAGATATTCTTAACATTTTTTTTTATAAAACCCGTGCATAAATCAATTGCTTTAATGTATATAGGATAAAAAAAAAAAAAAAAATCTTTACATGAAATAACAATAAGAAAAACTGTGAAATAATGGTCCAACTAATCTATTTGACTTTATGGGTTAATAAAATTTTCTTGGCATACTTTTCACAATTTAAAATATTCAAAAAGTGTACGTATACCGCCCATTGCAGGAATTAAAATATTACGTAAATGGCATGTAAACATACTGTTATTTCTTAGATTATTGGGCAGGATAAGATATCTCTAACTTATAGAACTTGAAAATAATTATATTGAAAAAGTAGGAAACTTTCATTTATCTAATAAGATGTTTGTATATAGGATTAATTATATGAATGTCTAAATGTATAAATTATATATTTATTAAGGGTTATATAAATTGCTTATTCACAAATATTTTAATGATGCATTCTCTTTCGTACTCTTTCATACTAAGATTTAAACAATTAAATAATTATTTGTCGATTGCGTTATTTAAGATTAAGAAATATCGTATTAAAAGTTAATTATTTGATAAAGCGTCTGCTTACCTTTTATTGTAATGCAAAATGTAATGCAAAATGATAATTCATGTTTAATAAGTATATTTTTTAAATATAAATCCTTTATTTAATATTCAATTACTTTTTTAACATTCAATGCCATAAATTAATATAATAATAATCTACTCTTGAAAGTTAAAAACTAAAGAATTGATTCGCTTAACTTAATGGCGAATTATAATTGTATTCCATTGTAGAAAAATTATGAGTAAGACTTATAAGAAAACATAAAAATCAAAATTAATCAATTTACTAAGCTGTAGATATTAATAATTTTACTTGAAAATAAAATATTAAAATTCAATGGGATAAAATTTTATTACACATTCGTTACAATTTATTATAATTCATATCAATTTATATATACAATTTAAACAAATTAGACATAAATTCAAATCAATATTTTATACAAAAAATTATAAAATCATATTATATTAAATATTAATAAAGATTGTTTACTTTTAATTACCATTAATTAATTTATAAGCAATGTAATTCAATTTTCATATCATTGATTAAGATTTATTATAATTTAGATTGATTTATAAACAATTATATAAAAATTAGATATAAAAATTAAAGTTTAAATATACAGTTTTAATATCGATTCCTTTATAATCCGATAAATTAATCTATTTTACATTATATTCTAATAAGCACAATTCATTTTTACTTTTCTTTCACAAATAATGCTATTATAGTAGATTATTAAAAAATATAATAGACAATTGAATTGAATTTATGTCACTTAAATATACATTTGTAATATTCACTACTCCACTGATTAATTATTCATTGATTTGTTAAACATATGAAATGATTTTATATGCTGTATTTTACATTTTCTTAATTATCTTTTTCTTAATACTTGTTTAGTAAGAAATTTCATTTTACAATTATTAAAATATTTAACAATGGATCGTAATATTACTTAAATTTATTTTTATTAGTAAAACTATATAATTTTAGTGACTATATCAACAAATAGCTATTTTAAATTTATGTTTCTTTAACATTATGATCAATTAATATAACGTAATTTAATAGTATATTTTCATTATGATAATTTATAGAAAATTTCACATTTTATTCCATTGATTTGTAATATTTTATTTTATATTTACTATAAATAATATTGATATTTATATTCATAAAGAGTTTGAAATTGAAAGACAACTCACTAACATCAAATTCCCATTATTATTCATTTGAACAGAATATTAAAAATATTTTTAATTAAAAATTGTTTTATATTACGTTTTTCTCATTATTATTTGATTTATTTGATTCATTTTTCTCCCAATGTTTTACACATTCTTTGAAAGAATATGCATATATAAATATAATAATAAAGGTAAATTTATATTTTAGGATTGATTTGAAAATTTCTTTAATGATAATCCTTCATATTTATTTATTTAGTTATATAGATATTTATAATGTTCATGATATAAGATCATTGCAAAAGTACTAATATATCTTGAAAACTTTAATATTATAATATCTTTTAATACAATTTGACGAATAATTAAATAAATAAATCCAAAATTAATCTATATCTTTTTCTCTTATTTCTAATAAAAAATTGCCTACTTTTTTTGTACACAATAATACATTAACTAAATAAAGGATCTTTTTTTTTTTTTTTTAATGAGAAAACTAAATTTAATATCACTGTTATATATAAAAAAAAAAAAATAATAAAAAAAAATAAAAAAAAATAAAGTATATATAACCATCATCAAGACACTTTGTCAAATGAAAAAATTGTTGTTATTTTTATACATAAATTAATATCTATTACATTTAATTTATTTAGTAAAAATATATGTTCATTAGTCCTATTAAAATATGAAATAAAAATACAAAATTTTTATTCGTAAAGTATATATTACAGGATCAATTAATTATGAAAATTCATATCACATAATTCCTATTATATAAAAACTGTTAGAATATTTTATCATGAAATATCGAAAAAGGCAATGAATTATTTTCATTTGTATAAATACAAAATGACAAATATAAATATATAAAAAAAAAAAAAAAATTATATGTAAAATCTATTAAATTTATAAATAAAGAAAATTATCAACTATTGATAAATCAATATTTATGTAAAATTTGTAAAGATGTTGCTTTACAGTTATCGGTTGCCGATAAAACAGGTAATTATATGAATTGCTGTTGCTTAGACAGTAGAAAGTAAGAAAGTAGAAAGAATAAATGAATACGCGATTGTACCAATAGATGGCAAAATTTATCTTGATCATTCCAATTAATAGGAATTTTTTATAAGCATGGCCATTAATATTATTCTGGCTATATAAATTTTTTATTCTTAATCAATAAATATTTACCAAATAAATATTCTTATTTATCATAGAATTCTCAACATATATATATATATATATATATATATATCAATAATATAAAATAAGTATGTTACAATATTTTACCGTAATAGACAAAATAAATATTACTGGTTAAGCTTTGTTTTTAGTAATGCGGACAAAAATATTTATTATTCGTAGTTATTATTATTGAGGTATTGATGATTTTTTTTTTTTTAATTGTCGATTATTTATTATAACTTCAAATAATCCATACATTTATAGAGTTATCAAATAAGATGACGGATAAATTTTTTTTACAAATCAATTACGTATAAAAAGCTTACAAATAAAAATTGTATACGTTAAAAGTCGTTAAG